TTTATCTCTTTACTACAGTTCCAGTCTTCCTCTAGCCAGCATCCAAGATATTTAAAACTGGAAACCCGTTCAATTGCCATATTATCTACTAGAATTGCAGCATTGTTGTAACTCGTTCTGTTTCGGCTTACGATCATAAATTTAGTCTTGGCGATATTAATTTTTAGATCGTACATTTTACTATGCTGGTGTACTTTATTGACTATATGTTGCAGATCTGCAAGGCTATCAGCTAATAAAGTGGTGTCGTCTGCGTAACGAATATTGTTGATGTATGTGCCATTAACTTTTATACCTTTATCTAAATTATACACCGCCTCTAAAAATATAGCTTCTGCATATATATTGAACAGCAGTGGTGACAAAATACATCCTTGACGGACTCCTCTTTGTATCTGTATTTCGCTGGTGATACCATCGTTGATTCGGATTTGAGCAGATTGATGCCAGTATAAATTTTGAATGCACCTAATATCCTTTTCATCTATACCCGTTTTCTCTAAGACTTCCATTAGTTTGTCATGCTGAACCTTATCAAAAGCCTTTTCATAATCAATGAAGCACAAGAATACGTCTTTTTTAACATCACAGCAATTCTGTATTAGTACGTTAATACTAAATAGAGCTTCTCGGGTGCCTGTTCCGTCTCTAAAACCAAATTGCGTTCTTCCCATGTGATGCTCGCACTTCTTATATATTCGACTATGAATTATTTTAAGAAATATTTTTAGACTATGACTCATCAAACTAATAAGTCTGTGATTATCGCAAGTTTTTGCATTGGTGGTTTTTGGTATTGCGATGAAAGTCGATTTCAGCCAGTCTTCTGAGAGATTTCCAGTGTTGTAGATATAGTTAAAGCATTTTTCAAGTAGTTCCAAATTTTCATCATCAATTAGCTTTATTATTTCAGCTGGTAACTCGTCGGGCCCTGGCGCTTTTTTGTTCTTTGATAGGCCAATAGCTTTGCGGATCTCGTCTTTAGTAATAGATGGTCCCGTCAGCTGGCTATTTTCCAAATTTACGTTTACAGCTGGTGTCCTACTTGGGTCTGAGAATAAATTTTGAATATAGTTTTCCCAACACCTTTTCCTTTCTTCTGGTTCGATGATTATTTGGTTATGTTGATTGACTAAAACTGTGGGAATCGTTTTGCGAAATATTCCAGATGTTTCTTTAATTTTTTTATGCATATTGAAATCATCGTGGCATCGCTGCAGTCTTTCGATTTCATTGCATTCATGATCTATCCAATTTTGTTTGGCTATTCTACATTTTAATACAATTTCTCGATGCAGCCGCTTGTATTCTGAATGGTTTTTATTACGATGTTTTCTTCTTTCATCCATTAATAAAAGTATTTCGGCAGTCATCCATTTCTGCTTGGCCAAAGATTTCTTAGTTCCCAGCACTCTTTTCGACACATCCTTCAGCACTTCTTTTGTTTCATTCCACAGGGCACCAGCGTTCACATTTTCTCTGTCGATACACCTTAGTTGTCTATTGATTTCAGTAGATAGTGTCGATTTAACCGTTTCGTTGTTAAGTCTTTCAATATCTATCCGTGGTGATCGATGTGACCTTCTAATTTTAGCCAGTTTGATTTTAATTTTTGCTAAAAGCAGATTGTGATTTGATGGGACGTCTGCACCTGGGTAGGTCGAAGCCTTCATAACAGATGTGGCGAATCTCTTGTTAATCAAGATATAGTCAATCTGATTTCTCACTACTCTTTCATTATTGTCTTGCGGCGATATCCAAGTGTATAACCTTCGAGGTGGTAAGCAAAACCAAGTATTGGTCACCTTAAAATTTTCCTCTTGGCAGAATTCAATTAAACGATCACCTCTTTCATTTCTGTCGCCTAGACCAAAGCTTCCAACTATGTCGTTGAGTTTTTCAGATCCAACTTTAGCGTTGAAATCTCCCATAATCAGGTTTATGTCATGCGGTTTTGTTAGTTTCAGCATCTCTTTGATATCGCAGTAGAATTGTTCGACTTCGTTATCATCTTTTTCTGCCGTTGGTGCATAAACCTGAATTATGTTTAGCGCTACAGGTTTGGCATTAATTTTTAAAAGCATTACCCTATCCGAGTGCGGTACGAATGCAGTAACACATTCAATAATATCCTTCGCTACTATTACCCCTACACCATTTCTGTGATTTTTCGTTTCATTGCCAGAGTAATAAAGTTTGGCTCCTTCTGTAGCACATTCACCAGAACTTGGCCACCAAGTTTCACTCACTCCTAGGATTTCGATCTTAAGTCTCTTCATTTCCTTGATAGTGTTTGCTAATTTCGATGTTTCATACAGGCCAGTTACATTCCAAGTTCCTATATTTAGTTTCTGCTTATTTTTGTTTTTACCTCCGGGGATTCTTAGCACCCTCGTGTTGCCGGAGACTGAGGGCCATAGGTTTATGTTGTTTTCCATGTGATTTTTTCTAGGGAACGGTACTTCAGTGGTTTCCCCTTGCCTTCTGAAGGGTATAAGTTTTCCTTCTTATGAAACTGCCGCCCCTTTGGGGTCAGACGCAGACCAGGGAGCCGCCCATTCTGGGTCAGACGCTTCTGGATTTCGCAGTTGCTTCGGGAAGAAAATCTACACGAGGGAGTCTAGATAGCTATGCTATCAGGCCCACTATCCAGTTTCCATCCCTACTCCCTGCACGGTCTATCCATTGGCCTGTGTTACCAGTTTCCAGGGAGAACCACGAGGAGGTTGATAGATCCGGTTTTCCCCCCCATATACATATTGTTATATACATATGTATTGTTATATACATATACATATGTACCCCATTGTTATATACATATGTACATAACTATGGAAAAATGTTTTCCATATCGAGCAACAACTTATATGCTGTAACAACTCGCAATTATGCACACCGCACTTTACAATAATAAATATTAACTTTGGAAGTGCAACAAAAGCTTTATGTTTTCATTAATTCACAATTAAATAACCTTAATTTGTACTAAAAATATTACAAAATATGCTATTGTGAATATTAAAAATGAAAATCCAGTTTCCATTTCCATTTTCAAATCATATAGCCAGCACACAAACCATTAAATAAAACTGTGTACTGTACGGTTCAAAAATTTATTGTTTTGCAGTTACCTTATACACAAACCGAAAGCAGAAAATCATTTTCAAAAATTTAAATATTGAATATTTTAAGTCAGCAAATAAGATGAAATACGATTAAATAATGGTAAATGGTTATTCGCTAATGGTTTCATTAATTAAACTTGTGTTTAAAAATTCACTAAGCGACAAATATTCATTGCTGAATAAATTTTGTTAGCGAGAATGTTGTGTTGAGATCATGTGAAGAGAAACTGTACTCGTAAACACAAAATAAATTAAATTTTCACCATACTTTATTGGACAATGTATATGACATACATATGTATCATTACAAAAGTGTCGGCTGTGGTAAAGGTAGTACATAGTATGTGATAAAAAATTTAAAGAAAGAATTTTAAATAAAGCCGTTCGTTGAGCAAACGCGATTCCTTTACGCAGTTCTTTTTCCATTAATAACAAACTTTATAAAAAAAAAACAACTTAGAACGAGAAGATGAAGGAAAATTTAACAAGCCGTACATAATCTTAATCTGCGCAGATACTGAAAATATACATACATACGTACATACATATTATGTATATGAAGATATTTAAAAATTTGCAAAAATACATTTAATTCACAATAAATTTATTATTTTGTTTAAATAATTAATTAAAATTATTTTACAACATAATTATTTAACCGTTTCTCTTTTACAGCAGTATTTTCAACTTATTACTCATCCATTATATTCATTCATAGAAAACTACCCATCTATTAATAAATTCATAATTTTTTCAATGGTGTTTGCATATTCAACGATAAAAAATTATGGGAGAGAATGAAAAAAAAAATATTGTAAAAATTTTGTTGTTTGTCCATCTGTACAGTTGCTCATATTTCATACGCTTTACATAATATTTGGACGAACTGGCACAAACAAGGAACACAAGGTTTTAAAATCGAAATTTATCGTTCGGATTAACTTTTTAAATAATCATTAATTTGAATCAAATGGAGCTGTTTTAAAATTATGAAAGGACGTGATTTAAACCCCTTATAAATAAGACACATGTTGTTCTTTTTTCTATTTTTTCGAAACCTATTTTACATTTTACTACGTTTTACTAATCAACTTTCCCAACACTCTGGAAAAAAATCCTTGAACATCCATGCACAAATTAATTATTTGATTATTGAGTTTTCACAAACTGAAACTTAAACCGAGTTTTTACTGAGCTAACTGAATTATTTTTTAAAGAAATGATTGTGAGAACAAATTTGGCTACCAAGATTACGCTACAATTTTCTCTTAAATTGCCAATTGTTTTCGTTAAAAGCTGACAAGTGTATGTATATTATTTCATTCTGATCTCCTTACGCTTGTCATAAGAATTAAACTATAAATTTTACAATTCTTTTTAATTCATATGCAAAACATCTGGTAATTTAAACATTTTATGTTTCTTCCTGAAATTATTATAAGTTTTAACAACAATTACTACATTACTTATTATGAATTCATCAGAGTATTTAATTTCCAGTCAAAACAAAAGTATTCTAAAAATAATTACATCTCATCATAAATCTTATATAACAAAAATAATAAAATATATCAAATGTAATACAATGTGTATACATACATACAGACATTAATAATTCGATGTGAAATGTGTGTATGTGTATACTATTTATAATTACACCTCATGGTTAGAATTTCACAGGCTCCATGCAAACTGTGATATAGAAATTTAATTTTTGTTTTTAATCTGTGATCTCCAACTGTGACGACATTATTTGACGGAATTTGATCATTTCTTTTATTAACTAACAACAAAAAAAAATGTTCGTCTCAGTTTAAAATTAATAATTAAAGATACAGAACGTTTAGTTTTACCGCAAGCGAGAAGATTAAATGAACTTAATTAAAAAAGAAAATAATAATAAAGTAAATTTTCAAATTCTAAATTAATTAACTAAAACAGTAGCTATAACAGAAAGCTGTTATATTAAAAAAATTTATAAATTATTAAAAAGTTGAAAAATTAAATTTAATTATTGAGCAAAAAGAAAATATTAATATTTATTTTTTGATCTGTAATATCAGTTACATTAAAAATTAAAAATAGATTAAAAATGTGTTGTTGGTCAATGAGAGTTTTGTGGACAGTTTTACAAAATATGTTTATACGATTAGGTACAGATTTAATGAGTTTTTATTATAATCGATGCTGTTGTTGTACACAAAAATCTGTACAAAAAGAAACTGAATTGAATGCGGATAAAAGTAATGACACGAATTTTTCAGATTATGTAATCATAAGTAAGTTTATAGTATGAAGTGTGCTTAAATATTTAGAATAAATTTAGTAAATTTTAAAGTTTATTAAATTTCTTGTTGAATAATTATAAATATGTCACAATTTCGTATATATTTTATAACTCATCCATAATTCCAGTGTTCAGTTCCGTATACCAAAATCAGTTCCCTTAAGTTTTTAAATTAATTTAAAAGTTTAGACTTATAGTTTTTGATAAAAGAAAAATTGTAATGTTTTAAGCATTATGCCTTGTGTTATAAATGTAAATGAAATAAATGAATGATATTTCACAGAGTGTGACAAAACTGAAAAGAATTCAAGTAAAAATTTAAGATAAAACTAATTAATCCGTAAATTAAATTTTTTAAATTGTTAAAAAAATTCGACTTGAAAATTTTCAAATTTAAATTTTAAATTAGATTCAATTAGACTTTAATTTTAGACTAATATTTTTTTAATTTTAGACTAATATTTTATATTAGAAAATTTTAAATAATAATTTCATAAATATGAAAACGCTCTTAAATATTCTCAGAATAAATTCGTAAATTGGAAATTTCCTATATTACTTCCTATTTACCCAAAAATATTCTTAACTTTTTGATTTAATGATGACCATAAAGTTGCTTGAGTAAATCAATGGAATCAAATATATCAAATACTTACTACTTGTGTTATTTTAGATATATTTGATATTTAATTCCCTTGACACACAAGGTAAAGTAAATGAATTATTAACAATTATGATATTTTATGTATCTATACATTTATGTAGGTTAGTTTGAACTTTTAATAGGTACTTATACATAAAACCTTTACATAAACGCAATAGATTGCGATATATATAGTGAAAACTGCACTAAACAAATGTTGCTATACAAATAAACAAATGTGGCCAATTTAATTTGTTCATAAATATTCCTAAATTTTCGCAATATATCGAAAATCATGACGTTACGAGTATTGTTACGCAGTATTGCATTTTTGAAAAACTTCATAATTTACTAAAAATATTTTAAGGCTTTAATTATATAAAAAAAAATCAATTTTGTAAAATTTTAATTGTATTTGAGGCTCTCAGCAGATTAGTGGCCAATCTAACATTTTTGCAAAAATGAGTTATTATATTCAATAGAGATGTAATGGCCTAAAGAATTGTTCTATTTTTTCAAAATACTTAGTTTACTTCTCTTTTCACTCTATTTTGACATAAGTTCGTTTTTGCGTTTTAAAAATTTTCTTAAAAACTAAATAATTTAAATATTTCAATTGCAATTTACTCGAAATGTCATTTTTGCAAGTAAAGGCCACTAAAGTGCTGATTGCCTCATTTGAACTTAATAATTGAAAGGTTAAAGTGAAAAAATTTAAATTTTTTTCATAATTAAAAATCAATGGTAATTTTTCAAATTCAAAATTATTTTCTTTTTGATTAAACAATATTTATGGTTTATGAAAATTTTCACATTTGTTTATGAAAATGTTCGGGAAACCAATTTTAGATCAAACTAAAAATTAAATGTTCAACACGAATTCGAACATTTCAAAACAGTTTAACTCAAGGCCGAATTCAATACGAATTAAAACGAATGAATTTGATGAGAAAAAAATTATTTTTTATCATACCTACAAATCATAAGGGAAATTAATTTTCTAAAAATTATAAATTAAAAAAACTCTCCATAATAGTCATCCGCATTATACATAACTTTCAAAAACTAGAATGTAACTTGAGAATCACAAAAAAAATTATAAATGTTAGAAAAATTAAACATTTTAAATGAAAACTCTTCATGGTATTACAATTTTCATTACATATAAAACGAATTACATAGATCTAAATTTCACACGTGTCCCGCTGTGCTACAATGATTTTGTTTTAACAAAAGAATTTATAGTAATATGATTATCTTACCAGAAATTATACAATGATTCTAAGTTTCTTATTTAGAATTTCAATTAGAAATGAAAATTTTCTTTTTATAATAAGAGAACATCAGTCACAATTGTTTACGCTAATTGTTTAGTTGAAACTAAAAAATATATGAAAAAAAAATAATAAAAAAAATATTTATTTAAATCTTAAATTTTTCTTGAATTTCCAAATTATTCCAAGTAGACATCAAATTATTTAAAATTCCATCCCCTATGTAAATCATTTAAAATAAATATTTATTTTATATTTTATTTTTAAATTAATTTATTAAATATGTAATTATTTTTTTTCCTTTTTCAGAAGATTTAGATGTAATGGATTTACCAGCATTTAATTTAAGACCATCAATACCACCAGCACTACCGCCTCTACCAAAATTAAAACCAATTGAATCAGAACCATATTATCGAATAGTTGATCGTTTTTCAGCTGAAGAAATTTTACGTAGTCGAATTGATGGTTCATGTTTAGTTCGACCATATCGCCAAATGGTAATTTGTGGCTCTTAGTTAGAACTTTAAAAATTAAATATTGTAAATGAGTTTTATTTGATTTGAAGTTTAATGTCCGTGAATTTTTAGCGCAATAAAATCTATTCATTAACAATATTTAATATCCAAGTCATTTCATACTTATTTTTTGATTAAATATTTTTATAATAATTTAAATTATTTTTAGGATGATATCATCAAATATATTGTTACAATTTATGTAAAAGGAAACTATTTTCATTTATATATACGTTATATTGCTGAAAAACAAAAATATGGTATTGGATTGAAAAAGCCCTTTGAAAAATTATTTAATACGCCAAACGAAATAATTAATTATTACCGTATCAATAAATTATTTTGCACAAATAGAACAGTTAATGCCTGTGTTTTATTAATACCAATTTCATAGGTTATAAATTTTATTTTGTAAATTTTTTTTTTGTGTAATTTTTAAGCATTAATATGAATATGAATTTATTATTTATGTATTTATAATTTTAAGAATAGCAAATTAATTTACTTATAGTATTAATAAACTTTTTTTTTGTAATATTTATTTTAATACTAAAAAATTTATTTGAATATTTTATATTGTATGTTAATACTTAAAATGACAGAATATTATAGTTTATAAATTTAGAATTCATAAATATTTTATATTTGTGAATTGTCCATGCTTTACAATTTATTTTTAAAATTAAATAATATAGCTGTATATAATTTATTATATAAATTACATAAGAGTATATTCTTTTAAATGAACATATATTAATTATTATATATAAGTTTGTTAATAAAATATACAATATTGCTTAAGTTCTAAATTCTAAATTCTAATATAAAACAATTAAACCGTATAAAATTATGTTGAAACGACTGCTTTGAAAACACAACGATTATTTTGCATTAATGCCGGCCATAAAAATGATTTTATTAAATCGGAACGTTTATCAGAATGTGGATGACGATCGTGTTTCTCGGGACGAAGAAAACCTAGTAATAAAGCATAAAATTAAATTATTATATCAGATTTATACAATTATATACAATTTATAATAGTTTACAAAAGTTGAAAAATTTATAGTGTTTAGTATGTATAAGTGCATTAGAATAAAAAAAATATATAAGCTCACAATTATAATGAAAAAATAAATTTTAAATTAAAAATAAAATTAGAAATTGTTTGAACATTAAAATTTGCAAGTCTATCGAAACAAAAGTACCTACATATATTAAATTTGTAAGACATTTCATAGATAACCCTAAGGCAAACCTTATTTTCTAAGAAGTTATTCAATTGACTTTTCAATCTCAGTTATTATTGTTGCAGTAAAAAAAAAACAGTAACGACCTCAGCATCATCGGATTTGGTTATAGAAATATTGTGCTTGAGATATATCCTATAATTTATTTAATTTTCTTAAAAATTTAAAAATTATGAAAAATTAAATTTTCGCTTAACGTTTATATTAAATATTGTCACGACTACCATTTATTATTGGAATTTATTATTGGACGTCTGCAATTAATTTTAATAAAAATTAACTATTTTCATTTATTTTATTTTTATTTCACTTTCAATTTTAATAATGAAATTTTTCAAATAAAATGAAAAGTTTTTTAAAAAATATTGCTACAATTTAATTTTCATATAAATGTAAAAAAACATGAATAGTTCATTAAAAAATTTAATATCCATGTGAATATATTCAATAGTCGAATCCTGATAAAAAGTTCCAAAATATTTCTTTAGATTTTTTAATATAAAAATCAACTTCACTGTCTTCTATTAATGTAAATATAATTTTGTTTATTATTATTTTTTTTTCTATAAATATAAAATATTTTCTAATGGTTATTATTTTTTTCTTCACCTTTGTTAAAGATTGTTACTGTTGCATGTAAATGTATGTCTTAATTTTACTTAAATGAAATTACGAATCTTTAAAGAATTGACAGAGCTAAATTTACATAATAGCTCTAAATCACTACATGCAACTAAAATATTTTTTAACAACTGAATTCCTTTTATCTAGATTCAACTGTACATGTATACTTTAAGTAAATATAATCACAATAATAATATTATGATTGATAATCTATCCTTATCCAAATCATACCCTCATTCATTTAAAAAAAAAAAAAAGTAAAATTGAAAAAATCTCACCTAATGTAAAATCGTTATCCAAATAATATGGTGATTTTTGATTAACCATTTTCCATGCTAATCTTACACACTTACTTATAAAATGAATCAATGGTGTACATGATTCTAAACATGGATACTCATGTAAAGTTGATAGCACCTTTAAATACAAAGAAAAAAAATATGAAAAAACAGAAGATTAAAAAAAAAAATTTATTTATAAAAATTTTCCTATGATTTTAAAAAGACAAGAAAAACTCAATTTATGGATAGCACACACACACTCGTAACATACATAATTAATTATTTGATATTAAAAATGTTATAAAAAATCAACAAAATGAAAATGAAAATTTTTCTTGAAAGTAAAAGGATAATTTATTAAAATTTTTCTTAATTATTTTTATTTTTTTTTTCATATCAAAAACATATTTTATAAGAAGAAAAACTAAATGAAAGCAAAAAATAACTCGATTTTAAAGAAAATGAAAATTTGATCACCTTTTTATTTTAATTTTACGATATTGTACAAAATTTTTTATGAATACTCACATATATAGCAAATCACACATGTAAAAGTAACCAGTTTAGGTCTAAAATTAATGTCGACAGTAAAGTGAAACAAAAAAAAAAAATCTTACTTTTTTTTTTAAGAAAATCTTGTTTTTCCTCTTTAACTAAATGTCAATATATTTTAAATAAAATGAACAAAAAAAAAACAACAAAAACCATTCATATATGAACGACATTTAAAAAAATTTGCAAGACAACCTACCATTCTGGCCGATTAAAAGACTAACCATTGAAAAATATCATGAAAAAAAAAATGAAAATTTATTCAGGTTAGTGAAATTAAAAGTATTTTCTAAAATATCAAAGTATATATGGACTGCTGTACATTATTGTGCATAATATCGCTAAATAAATGTGTAAGATGGATTATGAAAATTTTAAGAAATAAAAAATTAAAATTTACATATGTACATATTTTTTTTTTTCGCCATTATTAAAATGTAATGTGAATATTTTAAATAAAGTTGAAAATTGCACAGGTTTTACAACTTCTTCCTACAATTTACATTTTTTTTTTTAATATTGTTTGTTTTCTATGTGATTTTCCTTCGTGTTATTTTAGAAAAGTTTATGATGTCAAATAAATTCTCAAATTATTGTAATAACAATCGCATATAATAGCGCATATAATAATAAACTATTGCATATGTAAAATATTGTGTATGGGAGGCTTATTATATTATACATTCTGAAATTTGTAGCAATATACAAAATAATACCAGAGATAAGGAGTTAATAGTAGTGATTTAAACAAAGTATGACAACGATAGTCCTTTATATTTTGATTGTAATTTATGCTATAATATTTTAAAATCAGACAATGTCAATAATTTATATTCGGAATTGGAATGGTTGGAAAACCGAAGTAACTAATTTAAAATAATAAAATTTTATTAGTTTTCACTCAAAATTAAATTTTTCAAATAAATTATTTTAATTTCTGAATAGATACAGTAAAACTTTTCTTACTCAAACTTGGACTAATTTGAACTTGATTTATTCTTAATTTACTTTATAGATATTTCCATTTGTTTAACTCGAGTGCCGCAATAACAATTAAACCTTTTTTTTTTATTTGAAATTTTTTGTATAATTTTGACCCAAATGAGAAGTCATAAAATTTTATTTATATTTTTTTAACGAGCGATATAATAGTGTTTTGTTAGGGTGTATTTAGAATGTGAAATTTAGAACAATTTTGAAGCATAAAACAATAAAAAATTTGAATAGTCGGTTCTGACACAATCGCGGCGGAGAACAATTGAATATTAAAAACATGAAATGACCATTAAAATCACTTAATGTCACTTTTGTAGGACTATAAAATTTTTAGCAGTTTCTAGATACCAATAAATATTTTATTTTGCTAAGTTATTTCGAATTTCGTAAAATTTCCGGCGCCTAATATTTCTGAAACTGCAGTCCTTTTCAAAATTCTATTAATGCAGAAAGTTAAATTTCATGCCATCAAAAAATTTTATTTTTTTCCTAAACTCACACATTTAATTCAAGCATTATGCTTCTTTTGATTTTTCGTTTTTCTCATATCCTAAATGTATGCAATCTTTATTAGAAATTTAAATAATGTAGTATTGTTTTTAAAAGCAGTATTAACTTGTTGAAGGGAAAAGTGCTAATTTACAAAACATTGGTTTGAAACTTTACTTAATTTTTTCTAAGACTTTTTAAACAATTCCTTAATTTGAATATCTCAAAATATAAGCGAATAGCCTTATATGTTTTTAGCTCAAAACAGCTATAAAATTATGTTTAAAATTTTTGTCTTCATTTAATTAATTTTATCATAAAAATATTTTATATACTCATATTATAATTTTGTAATTAACTAGAAAAAACAGCATTTACACATCACACGCACAAAATACAAAAATGTATGATAAATTACAAAAAAAAAAAAACAAATTCAAAACAGAAAAATTTAAAACCACTTTTACCTGATTAGCAACTTGTCGTTCAATTTCGCCCATTGGATATATTTCAGCCGTATCATGTAAATGTTGTCGAACTGAACGATCCAGACTTAATGTTGTCTCATCAACACTTTCCATTGAACAGCATAAAACTCGTCGAACTTCTGATACTTTTCGTTCCCTCAATGTCTGACAGGCTCTAAATGATAACTGATGTGCGTGTATAAGAAAATAGTATAATTAAAAAAAAATATATATGCATATATATATCAACATAACATGGTTACGAACTTTTTGTATTAAATAATTGTAGTTCATTGGTTAAACCAACAAAACAACAAAAAAAAAATTCAAACTAGTTATACTAAGTGTTATAAATATTTCATGAATATTTTAACTATGCGAGTATATTTGCCTATATACACATGCATATATAAATATGTCTAATTAAAACAATTTTATTATATAGGCAATATTTAATCCAGTTTAATATAGACTTGTAATAAACAAATTACTTTTATAATGAACAAGTCATATAAAAAGTGAGAGTAAACCTTTAAGTTGTAATAATAGAAAATATTTTTACTTAATCATTGACATAAAGTGCAAAGTTTCTGAATAAGAATTCGTTTCATATTTTTAATAATAATATAAAAATGGCAGTAACATGTATCATTATTCTATAAAATTCATATAGAATAATTTAGCTAACAGCATACAATATGTATAGGTACATAATAAGTTATTATGCATGCATAAACGCTCCCTACCGTACGGTGTAACTATTTAAACCAATCAAGCCATATAGGTATAGTACAAAATTTAAGACAATTTCACTTCATTGTTCGAACGGAATTCCCCGACTGAACATTTTGGAGAATGGCAGAGAAACAAAAAGCAATTATATCTGGCCATCCTTAAAATATAAAATTTTCAAAAAAAATTAATTCAAATCCAATGCAAATATCTCAATTCCAAAGTTTACTTTGAAATTTCAAAAATTTTTGGAAATTTACGAGTAATAGTAAAAATTAAAATATTTAATCTAATTCTTTAAAAAATGAATTACTCCTTGCCCTTTTATAACGAATCGCTTAATGCATTCTTTTGAAATTAATTCCAATTTTAATTTTTCTCAAAAGATACTTAAAGTATTCAAACCTAAATTCAATTTTAAATTGCAATCAAAATTACGAAATGGAAGGAGAATCAAGTACACGGTACAATTATCTTTGGTTACCGTATTATTTTTTGATTTTTTAACTTTGTTTCTGTAACATTTTTTTGCAATAAAACTATTGTTACAGCCCGACAAAATATAAATGAAAGTAAGCATTTTATTTTTACCTTCTTATTTAAAATTATTTTGCTCTAATTTTTTTTTTCTAAAATTATTTTATTATGTGCAAGCAATACAAAAGAACGCCGCATTTTAAAAGAGTCAGCAATTTTTCTTTCTTTGATAATGACGTTAAAGTGTAAAATCTAATGATATTGATTGTCACTTTTCATATAAATATTTTGACACAAAAACTATATCAAAACTTAAAGTTTTTATAATGTCGAAAATCAGAAATGACAGGTTACATGTTATTTAGAAAATTTTTGATGAATATTTTATATATGTACGTAAGTGAAAGGATGTGTATGTATGTATTTAAAAATGGATAAAAGATGTGAATATCTTCACACTCTATATTTAGACTTTATTTTTCTTATACTTATTTTTCTCCCCTTTTGTCATCAATCTGTTTATTTTTTTTTTATTTTCAATCAATTTTTCTCTCATTCTTGTAATATCACGTTGATGGTGGCTTTAATGTTTGTTTTATTATGTCGAAATTCCCCAAAGATTTTTTTGACCTACATAAATTTCTAAAAGCCAATCTTAAATCAATCTTCAGAAAAATCAATATTGTCCAATATCTTCACGTTTTTCTTAATTAGCCAAAGGAACTTCTGTTTTGATTTTATTTTAAGAAATTTTGTTTAACACATAATTTGATATTTGCCTTCTTTTAAAAGCTCAAAATTTCAATTAAAATATTGCAATTTCATATTTTAAAAAATTTTCAGCCCATTCATTAACAATTATTTTTCGAGCAGTTATTAGATAATTTGAGAATTTTAGCATTTAAATATACTGTTACGTAATTATTATGCAATATTTCAAATTATAACAAGCAATGTAATTCAGACCGTCTGGAAATTTTGTTTAATTACAAAATCAAATTCTATCTATGTCTGGAACGATTTTTATGTGATTTTTAAAACAAGAGTCCGGGAATATTTATGTCAGGAACGCTTTTATATGAAAATTTCACAAGAAATGGAATCCTGTTAATTTATGAACATATGCATATTCTTTATATTTTTCAATATTGTACAGCATTTTGAAATAAAATTTACAATTCTATAAATTGGCGAGCTACAATTGTCATACATAGTACAATGTCACTTCAGTAATTAAAATTTTTGCTTGTGTTGTTTTTTTTAAATTGCTGGAACTTTATTTAAATTGTTCTCAAGAGGATACTAATTTTCAAACTTTTCCAAAAAAAATTTTTTATCAAGCCAAATTTAAGAGTTTTTTGAGTTAGCAAATTTAAAATATTTTAAAAATATTTTTAACAATCAAATGTAAATTTTATGCAATTTTGACAAATTTATAATTTTCATGAAGTGTTCGATTTTTCAATTACCGCGATATTTATATTACTGAACTCTCGAACAACAACCTTATTTGATAAAAATTTAAAATTTTAATTTTATTTCACTGACAATTCATAATCAATATAATAAAGTTTAAAACTAATTTTATAGCATTAAATGTAAAAACAAAACGAAAACTTACCACTATTATTGAAAATAAGATTTTCATTTTCAGGTTTGGGACATGTTTTAGTTGTGGTAAATTATTTAAAGCCTCCAGCGTCTCTGATCTATTTTGTGTGTAAAGGCATCTATAAAGTCTTACAATTTCATTGCTTAAATTTCAACAAAATGAAAAATATTAAAAATTATAGTTAAAGTCAAAACAAGAAAAAAAAAAAAAAATTATATTTTTAATTCTAATAATTAGAAAAATTGTATTTTAAAAATAAAAAATTAAAAAATAGGAAATTATTGATTCCTGTATAGTAATGAAAATGAATTCATGACCAAAACATATAATTTGGAAACACCATTTAAAAATATTAAAACTGATCAGTTGATTGAAATAGAAAATGCTAAGTGAAAAAAAAACCTTGAAGTTCAAAAACATTTTTATTGCTGATCATTTTATCAAAGACAAAGTTATTGCATTTAAAGAGGAAGAAAACTAAAATACTAAAATATAATAATTATAGTGCACCATCAACTTAAATATGGATGCAAATGGTTTCAAAATAGAATTAATAAAAGTAAATTTCAAAATTTTTGTTGCAAGACCATATTTCTAAGCCACATTTAAAATATTCTTCCTAAATATAGGAAGACGTTCTAATTTAGAATTATTAGACTTCATAAAATGTTTTGCTCATATAATTGTGTACATAAGTAATTCGCTGTCCTCATAAATGATTCCAATTTTTGGTAGAAATTTTTGGTAGATTCCAATTTTTGGTAGATTTTAGTCGAAATTTTTTTTTTAAATTTTAAAACGAAATTTATCTGGATTGATCTACTTTAATAAATTTATTTCTAAGAAAATAATATAAAAATTTTGATTAAACACCACAATTTAAATTTTACTTTTAACACCAAACATCTGCCCTTAAGCGATAATTGTGCTTATTTAACTTTAGAAAAAAAGAATGAAATTAGTATTAAAATCGTTTTATTAAACCCTCTCCCCTTTCTCCAGAGTTTTTATGGTGTTTTTTCAAATAATTTCATGACTTATGTCCGCATATTATCTAATCCGAGAAAAGTTGACGAAAAAATTAATGATTCCGCATATTATCATCATCATCTTTATATATTTTTTTTTAATTATGATTATCAGTGGATTTCTTATAAAATCCTACTATACCCATTAATTACAAAGTTTAATAAGTTACTCAGCTATATAGAAAAGACCAAAGATTGATGAAAAATCTTTATAATAAACCAGAGCAAAAAAAATATAATATTGAATCAAATCTGTCATATTTGATAATGAAAGATTAAACACATTTCTATTATACTTAAGCAACTTTAAACAAAATATCTGGATAAAAATATTTAATACATACTTAGTTTCATCAATACCAATATCAGAATCTGAATGGTAACCATCACTACCATTATTGCTGTCAGCACTTGGACTTGATGGTTTACTTTCAGTACCCATTAGATTTAATATTGCATCACAACTACGTGAAAAATTCATTAAAACACCAGCTACTGGTAATTTTTCCATATTTGTTTGTGGATCTAATCTTTTTATTTGACCAATACAAGATAAAACTTCTTTGTCACTTTGTACCCTTTCATTTAAATTTTCTATTAATTGTTGTAATTGTTTTAATGTTGGCTTATCCAATATTGTTAATAATGTTTTATTGTCAATTAATCTCTGTTGTATATCACCATAATTTATTGCCAATAAACGTTGATGTGATGATTGTGCTGGATCTTGATTAACTGTTATCGTACTCATTTCTTCTAATTTATGTACAGCATTCTTATATGTTTCAATATGTTGTGTTAATTCATTTTTTAAAGCAATATGCATACATATTAAAGAACCATTATAATCAGCTGTTAAACCATGTATACCTAAACCTTGAACAGCTTTATCTAATGATTTTTTTCTCTCTTTTAATAAATTTCTTAAATTTGGTTCCCATTGTCCTAAAGCTTGTATTAATTTTGAACATCTTTGTCTTAAACCAGATTCTTGTGGATTTGCATATAATCGAACTAATTGCCACATAACAGCTTCTGTTGGTACATCTGGTTTTGGTGATGGATTAACTGTATTTAATCTTAAAATAAAATGAAAAATTTATGTAAGTTAAGTTTATGTAAGCTAAAAAAAATTACAATTACATTGGAAAATTAAAATTTATTTGACATTTATTATATGTTTGTAAATTTTTGTTATAAGTCAATAATTATTTATTAATAAATTTAACCAAGCAAGACACATAATTTTGTTTTGTCCTTTAACATTCTTATATATTTACAGTTTCCAAAAAAAATAATTGACAAAAATTAAAATTTTACTAAATTTGAAGGACAATAGCACGAAAAAGTATGAAGTTAGAAACAATATTGGGTTTAGCGAAATGAATTGTTTGTCAAATTTTAAAATTTCAGACTCCTACAACCGTTTAAGACAAAACTAATCTTAGAAATTTGAAATTGAACAATTTTGAAGCAACTGTTATTTTTAACGGTCGTTTTGTCATTGTAGCGTTAATTTATGCTGTTTTGTAACGGAAAGTTGCCGTTTTTCTACGTTTACAAAAATTTAAAAAAATAATTGTCGTTTCGACGTAATAAAATTTATATTGAAATTATAACAAAATATCTATATAAATACTTCTAATATAACATTTTTAAAGAGACTGGGGCGCTATACATTAAATACCGGCTGTTTTTACTAAACTTCAAAAGAATTTGGATAAAATGTTTTAAAAAAAATGCCGAAATGTACTTTAGATCCGAATAACTTTATTTACTCATAAATAACCGTAAATTATCAAAATTATTTTTATATTAGAAATTCCTATACAATTTCAATTCCCAATACTCATTAATCACAAATTTCTTTAATTTATTACTGGTATGGGATGGGATAATAAAAAATTATTACTGGTATGGGATAAAATGTATGGGATTTTAAAATTAATAAAAAGATTAAACTAAAATTGAAATTTTATACTCAATTAGCAATAACACGAAACACCTATTTATATAAACTATAAGTGAATTTTCATGCTATCATTTTTTTTATTTGCCGAATTTCTTGAAAGAATACAAAATTCAATTACTTCGTTCATCTATTCATGAATGAATGTTACTCGTACACGTATGTAGTTTATGTTTATTTTTTCAAATGATCTCAATTAATTTTAATACTTAAATCACACCATATATTTGAAGTCTATAGAACAAAAAAACTATATGATATTAAAAAAAATTTTAATTACAATAACCAAATTAATTCCACTATTTAATAATGAATTTTTGCATTAAAAATCAGGGTCGCAAAGGAACAAAAAATATTCACTTGTTTTTTTTTCTTCACATTGCTATAAGTTATTCAGGTGTAACACTTCTTCTTTTTTACTAATAAAAAACAAAAACTCACTCACTTTCAAAAATTCCATTAATAATAAAAAAATAAGAAAATTTCTTCAATTCTATCTCTACAATAAAATCTTACAATATGAATCTGAATTATAAAAAAAAAATGCAGAGGAATAACGTGGAGCGCCTAATTAATTTACATACAATTCAGTAACAACAAGTAATGAAGAGGTTTAAGTCAATATACACAATATAAATAAAATAGGCAAATATTATACGGAAATAAAGAAAACGCGCGTATGCTATTTACCTTTAATAAAAAAAATTTTTTTTCTTTCCTAAGTAACACCTTTTACAATTGAATTTCGTAAGTAAAGTAAAAAAAGATGGAAATTGGAATTGAAAAAAATTTTTATAAAGAAAAAATTATTTGAATTTTTCATTTATTCTTCAATGGAAAATTAATTTTAACTTTTCTATTCAAAAAAAAAAACTACAACTGTTCGCAAATGATCTGCAAAAAATAAGCACTGAGTCTCATTAAGTAAGTTAAGAAATACAAATAACAATAGATTTACAATATTGTAAAAAAATATTGTTTTATTCACCTGATCAGCATTGTGTAAGATAACGAAAACGTTACCTATAGTAAAAAAAAAAACAAAAAAAAAACAAAATTGATTTGACCATTTTTAGCACACTTAAGTCCAAAAAAAACTGTTCTATAGCACAAATAAAGCTTAGAATGCATAACATTTAAGAAACTGTGAGAAGCTTTTAAGAAGTCTGTTGAGAAGTCAAATTAAGATTTGAAAGTTCTCTATACTGGAGATAAATTCTAATTTCAATTCTCTATACTGGAGATAAATTCAAATTCCAATTGAATTATAGGATTAAAAAACACAAAAATGTTTCCACAATAAGTTTCCAAAAAAAAAATATTTATATGGGGTATGTAATCTTCAAATTTTTGAAATATTGTAAATAAATATTAGGGAATAGTTATGAATCACTTATTTCCACTTCACAATTTTAGTTTACCATATATAGAACAAAAATACAAAAATTTCATAAAGATGTAGCTCAGTGTGTCACAACATTTCAAAAAAAGTGGAACATTAAGTTGAAAAACAACGAGTTTTTTAATAATAATCTACAACGGTATAAGCAGCTAATCACACCCACAAACAATTTTTGAGTGTTGTTAATATTTGCAGTTTGTACGTATTCTATTATTAATTTACTGGCATTTCTATTAAATACTGTAGAGATAGAGATGTTTGGAAAAGGTAGTACGATCTAAAATAACGTTGCTATATAAGAGATTCTATGAACTTTATTTATTTTCGCTGATCACTTATTATGTGATTTAATAGAAAAAATTTTTAAGAAATACAATTCGAGTCCCAAAGTCTCCCCAAAAGAATTCCTTTGTAAACTTACAAATTTTAATCATTCTTAGAATATTTCTTATAATTCGGCGCCCAGCAATTTTCGATTTATAAAAAATATTCAAATAAATTTCGTAAACCTTTTTCAACAGTTTATAAACTGACTATCAATATTGCTGTTATCTCACATCACCTATAAATGTAAAACCACATTAAAAAAGAATAATAAATTCATAATATGCACTTAAATTTTATGCAAATTCGCATTTATACACAATACGTTTTCTTGTATAACAAAACAATAGAATAATTTTATTTATTTTTTATGTTTTTTTTTGTATTTTTTTATTACCTGGAGAAAAATGATTCCAATAGATAAGCACTATGTGGTAATGCTTCCAATAATAAATCAATTGGTAATTCAGATATAACAGAACGTAAAACTGATGGTCCAAGACGTCCAACAACCCCAGCTGCTTCACGATATTGTCGACCTTCTGATAATAACATTAAACGTCTTAATACTTGACGTGGACTTGTTAAAAATTCACGACCATCACGTGGTGGTGCTCTAATACGCTCTCTACTATCAACCATTTTGTTTATTTATTTTAATTTAAACAATAATAATGTTAATGTAATTTTCTTATTTACTGTTATTTTATCGTTACTATTATTGCTATTTATATTTTAAATTATTCAGTGTTTATATATAAATTAAACTTTTGCTACATTTATTTGTTTTGATGAAAAATTTTTAATATAATCGTGATTATTGGGAATTTTCACTTTATTTACTGCCATAACATAAATATAAAATAAAACAAATAAAATTAAAGTACGAATTAAAGGTACGAATCCGGGTTAAATGTCACATTATTTTTTGTTTTTCTGTTTAATATTATTAACATAATAAATTAGAGTTTTGCAAAATTTTTATTTATGATCCGTTATACTTATTATGTGTTCATTCTGAAATAAAAGAAAAAAAATAAATGTTTAATGAAAACTATATTAAAACCATTATTATAAATTTTTTGCTTATTTTACAATTTACCATAAATAAGGCCGCTATACATACATACATAAAATTTGTAGGCCAAATTAGAATTTCTTGGAATAACTTTAAATTTTTTTTGTTATTTTCAGTCAATAAAAATTATTTCAAAAAATTTCATAAAATTTCTAATATTTTAAAATTTAATTTAAAATGTTCACACAACTATGCCTGCTAAGTTTTTTCTACGAAACTTTGTTCGACTTTTTCATATTTCTGAAAAATTAAAGATTAAAATTATTAGTAAACACCTATATTGTTAGCAGCAAAGTATGCAATAGAAAAAGGTATTATAGTACATATACATACAAACAATTATAGCTATTAAGTAAAAAAACTTTTTTTTAAAGAGCGTTTTTGAACAACTTAAATTATCAAAAGGAAATGTGATACTTGACTATTACTAATTTACTTTGACTTCATCATTATTTAAGAAATATCTGTGTATTTTTAGAATTTACAGAATTTTTCCAATTACTCAAATGCTTATAAATTATCTGATTATTCTGTTTATTAATAATTAATCTGTTATTTTTTCAAAAGATTACACAAATTCTTTGCTTTTAAAAACAACATTTTCTTCATAAATTTTGCAACCATGAAGCAGTCAAGATTCAAACATACTATGTTACTCACTCATATGATTTTAATTATTCATTTTTATTTAATTTACATTTAATAAAATAGCATTTAATAAATATTAATGATTTAGAAATAATGGTATTCAATAGAATTATTTTAGCATAAATATAAGACTGTAGTATTGAGCAATTTAACCTCCAATCAATTAAGTAATTAAAATAAGACCGATAAAAAGCAGTAAAAATCGTATTAGATTTCAAATCAGATATGTTTATCTTTAACACTTTTAACATCTAATTAAAAATGTAATAAATTTTTTTTCCTATTTACAATTCAGTAATTCTAAAATTCCAAATCAATAAATTACAATCACTTTAAAGTTCCCTATAGACTCCTTAGTTTTTTGGATTATTTATTTATTGCAAATAATTTTCACGAATAATAACCGTATTGTTATTTAACTCAATTTTTAATTTACATAATCATGACATGTATAAGCAATTGTACAAAAACCTTAAACTATTTGTACTTTTAGGAGAACTATTAAGAAGTCTTACAATATCTCAAGCGAGTTTTAACTGTTTTTCCTTCACACAACTTCATTTTAATACAACAATTATTCATCAGTAACTGGTTTTATATAATAATAATTACCGGTATGACTGAAATTACAACTCCAATTATGAAAAGCTACAAAAGCATAATACAACAATTTTAGTGCATAAAATTTGGAAAAAAAAGAATTTTGAAAATTTCTTTTTCACAACAAAACAAACAACCAAAAAAAAAAACAAAGAATATTTTTATTCTTTATTCAAGCTAATAAAGAATCAAAACTTACACACGAAACATTTTAGACAACCAACACTTGTTGAATTTGTCATAATAAAAAATATAATTATGAAAATTCTACTAAAGTTCATCAGTTATGCCCTTTTTCTGTAACAAAACAAAAATTCGACCAAATCTCACGCAATCATTTTTTCAAAAGTCAAAAACCTAAAACGAGATTAAAGATTTTCTTTGTTAACAGGAAATGTTTGTTACACCTTTCTATATGTAATTACACCTTTACTAAATTATAGTTTTTCTACTTAATATATATTAAATTGGAAGGGTTACCATATCTCATTGTTTATATATTTTTTTTATATAAGGAATAAAAAATTCCGACGCAGAAGTGCAACAGTCATTTAAATTTTTAACGAGTTTTAAATTGCGTACCAAAATGTGGTGGTATATAAAGCTCAATTGACAAATATTAACAGAATATCCGATGCCATAAAATAAATATTTTATTGAAGACTAGCCAAATTTAACTAATTATCTTTAAGCTAAATGACAATACCGTGGAGAATAATTCCTAATTTATACAGTTGGCAAAAACTCAAACTTTAATCAGGCATACATTTTTTTTACTCGTATTTACATGCAATTTGTTTAATTTGATTTACAATAATTAATGAAAGTGCTACGTGAAAACATCGACAAATGATTTTGTTTAATCAAATTAACGTCATTCAATTTTCATTAAACAAAATACATGAACAGAGTTTAATTTCTTACCACTATCAAAGCGGAATAAATTTCTTACTTACAAACCTAAAACATATTTTTATAGAATCTGTTAAGTATAGTGTGCTAAGATTTAATAGGCGAAAAAATCAGTTGAAATTAGCGGGAATCCATTGAATTGCTTTTAATTACAGTTGGCAACCCATTCCAAATATTATAAATAAATATTCTGAAACTTCTTACCTAAAAATTAAATCTGGAGTGTAAAAACTTTATCAACACAATATTATCAGGTTCAAATGTATAATAGTAGCAATTCGACACAGGAAGCTTAAAAACTCTTTTTTTTTCTCTTTAAAATATTACAAAATTTTAAGAAAATTATACATACCTATGTACATATATATGTATGCAAGTACTTTAAAATTTTTATCTGGATCTTATATTCCCATGATTATTCCGATATCAAATATACAAGCCAACATCATAACGAGTAAAGTTAAAGTTTTTTAAAGTTCACAACAATTTATACAAAATTGGACAAAGTAATCAAAATATAAACCAAAAAACCTCTTTAAAGAATCTCAGATGGAAAATTAAAAATAAAAAGAAAAAATAATCATCTTTAAATTGTTTAATGGAAATTATTTGTACATGTGCTGCCGTCACCACTGTTGTAATAGGAAAAAAAAACTAAAAGAAAATAGGAAAATAATTTTATTTTTTAATTTTTACCGGCAAAAATGTTTTATTTTTATTTTAAAATTACCATTACATCACATTACTTTGATTTAAATTATTTGAGTATTTGTGTGTATGCATATGTAGTTTTTAAAATTCAGTAAATTTTTACAAGAAGACAACAAAAGTACATGTAACGCAAATATGTACTACATTTATGATAAGTACATAGTTTGATGTATGTATATGTATGTACTTTCATGTACACAAAAGTGACGGAATTTTCTTCTTCATTAGATTATGAAATTTTGGAACAATTGAAAAATAAACATTTTGTTTGTTTCATTATTTCATCTTTTCATAAATTTTAAATTATAGTGAAAAAATCTTCAACTTAAAAATAAATCATCAGCAACTAAATTATGATTATTAAATTATAGTAACGCGATTACGAAATGTCATGTTTGAATTTTTTTTTTATACAAAACGTCATTACATCAAAACAAAATTGCTTTTTTTCTTAGTCTAAAAATAACATTATAAATATCTTATTGTGATGATTATACAATAGAGGCGCTGATGTTTACATGTATTAAAATTTGTTTGAATTTCCGATGATTTTTTAATCGTGTACTCACATACATATGCAGTAAGCCATATAATATAGAAAAATAAGAGATCACTCAAATTTAAACATCTTGTATTAGTAATTAATCTTTAATTAGAAATTGTTTTAATTTATTGATCAAATAGGATAATAATCAATAGCCCATAAGAAATTACATAAAAACCAATTTTACAGAAGATTTTCTTTATGTCGTAAGTAGTAAGTTTTTTTTATATGTACATACATACATACATACATACGTTTTACCGAAACAAAATTTTTTCTACTTTCTTACTTCTACTTTCTTATTTTATATTTACAGGGGAGAAATTAGACTAAAAAATTTAATTAATTTTTAATTTCTTGGAATTAAAATACGTCATTCAAATACATACATACACGTACTCCAGTACATAGTGTGGTTAAGATTGTTATAGGCTTATGTGTATGTTTCATTACATTTTAAAAATTATTCGTTATTTACATTATACAGGGTGTATCGTATCAAGATTATTGAAATTAAAACTGACTTAAAGAACTGTATCAATGAAAGACCCCATATGCTAGTCTCCGAGCAATGAACATTTACATTGAAAAAATTAAGTTCCTTGGTATAAAATAAGATTTGCAATACTCTATTTTTCTAAGTACCTCTTAAACCAGTACAGGTACGAAGATGACCCCTATATCAAATTAAAGGTCAGTAGACAAGGTTGCCTGCTATAGTGAAATTGGCGAAAGCTCCCTCATTATAAAGGCCCTTGTTCTGTGGTTTCTAAATTATATTTAACAATGCGTTTATCTTACACATCAATCATCAGACGATATTTATTTTAAGTTGCTGTAACTTTGAACCTGTTGAATTGTGGCAAGGTGTCCATACATAAGTTTTGTCTATTCATGAGGGCCTTATCTTATATTGGTATATAGCAGGGCACTTTGGTACGAGACACCCTATATATAAATATATAATTTTAAAATAATTGTTAAAATAGCTCGAAATAGGAAAGTACTTTGTTATAAATAAATTATTTGCATTTTTCGTACATTTGTGCAAAGATGACACTTCTAACGGCTAAATATTTATGAAATTTTCAATATGGAATCCATTTATCAACTTAATTACTTACTACTATATGGATCATATCAATTACTTATTAACAATAAATTAACTACTATTTTGTGAATCACGCGATTATACTTAAAAATTATACATTTTTTCACATTATTAAGAACTAAATAT